CAGGGGTTGGACAGGGGTTGGCCCCCCCTACCCCCCCCCCTAGGACCCCCCCCTCTCCCCCCGATAATCCCTCGAAAAACCTCTCCGAAATCTTTTGACCATTATAACTCTTTTAATTACTATTATCATGTTCAAGAGACAACGAACTCTTTAAAAATTTCTATATTCTCAACAAGTTGTTACACTTACACGCAAATGGAACTTCTAGATTTACGTATGATTATTGACGGAAGTCTCAATTGGATGCACGTGGACACGACTCACGAAAGGTAAATTTATGAGGATTTTCCAAGATTGCTATCCGCCAGACATCGATGCTGCAATAGAAACATGGTCCAAAACACTCTGATTCAAAACAAATAAGAACTCAAAGAAGAGAGCGAATAAGTCGCTTTTGTACTGTCATGTGTGCATCTCTAGTGACTTTGATCCTTCATCACCGGCGAGATGAAGTCATGGTCATGGTAATCGCTGCTACATAGAGTCTGAATGTCTATGCCAGCCTTCAATAAAGAGGGACCGACCCGTAGGGAAAGCCTCTAAATTGCATGTGAGAAGCAATATACATCATGTCATGACCGGACAAAGCAGGATGACATGTGTCAGAACTGTGTTTAGAAACACAGCCGGCATGGATGCAAAGAAGCTGAGTATCAATGCTCCGCAGGGGGATCATCATTATCAGTTATACATAATCTAGCTACCGCCTCGTTCTGCTCGCAGAGAACTTTTTGAGGTTGAGCTATTGACTAGGTTAAACTGATATCGAGGGATCGCGTCCTCTGTTTTTTGTGCATCATCCTGCATTTTCTTCCATTTCATCCATGACTTTGTTCGGCATTTTTCTCATGCTTGTGCGAGTGACTTTCTCACGCTGGTTCTTCTCCAAAGTTTCACGCAGTCGATCGGCATGTGCATTCGCTATCTTCCTTGTACAAGAACTGACATATATTAAAATTTATTAAATAAATATCAGACAACATCTCACAGTGACAATGCGGCACAGCAGCTCCACTAATTGTTGCAGTTGTAAGACGTACAAATAAGCTTTGGAGCGTGAAAGTGGACTAGATGCACGCCTACCAAAACCTCTTACCTCTCGCGTCCCGCATGTACTATCAGATTACATAGAGGGGGGAGATCAGAAAACAGCATCATCATGGGGTTCTCTCAGGCTCACCCATCAAAGAAACTTTAAAAACACAGATGCACGGGGGAGTCAGGGATGGTTGTATAAGTACCCCTTGCACAACTAATAAGAAAACAAATATCACGTGACAAAAATCTAACTGTAAATCTTCTCACGCATGTCTCATGAGTAATAAGTACAACGCACTTTCTTCCTGCTACAACTACTGGTTGTACTGGTACTGCTCAAAACAGAAGATCATAAACGATTGATCACGACGAGTGTAAGTATTCGTGCAAGAACTCGAGAGACCGTTTAGTGGTGCGGATTTCTCCTGAAAATTGGATTACCAGCATCTTGTCTGTGGCGAAGATATTGATATAGTAAGTTGTGTATAGTTTTTACTACCCCTATTTTCTAGTGAACCTAGACGATTTATGATCTTCATATTAGTTTCTACCTTCACGCATCTAGTTGTAAAATCCATCGATCTATCAATGAGCTAGATTTTCTCCCGACTTACTTCTATCAATGTAGCAGTCTTGTGAAGCTGAAGACTACAACTTACTCTAGTAGATGTCATACGGTGATGAAGAAGCAAGGTCAAGGTGAAGGTAGATGCTAGCTACTTAGGTACTAGTGGTAGGTGCTTATGCTTTGGCTGCTGACCCTTGGCAGTGCTTCTCTTCTAAGCTCAAGCTCAAGATGGTTTCCCCGTTTCTAGCTCTGGACCGCGGCCCACGTTTTTGTTCTTTTTTCGTTAGCACTGAGGAACGGTCAAGATGTATATCACTGTGATAGATAGGCCTGCCCGAACTCCTCATCTAAGTCCTCCTCTTCTTCAATGAGGAACAAGATCAAGAAAAGTACCAAAATATAAATGCATTTTCTCGCTTGAGATATATACTGCACTTGCTGCACATTGACATTCACCATGATAATTGTCAATTCGCTGAAATCATACAGCTACTGCATAATCGTCCATCTCCATTTCCAGGTTCATCACGCAAGTATGGAGACCCTGCCTCGAGGACGTAGCGACCAGGAAAAATATTTCTCAGACACAGACTACTTCATGTTTGAAAAAACTGTTGATCAACACTATCTTCTTCGCCAAACCTTCACACCCGCACGCTGCTACATCAACATCATGGTAATCCGTCGCTATGTATCTAAAGCTAATCCTCCTTTTAAATTTCAATACATATCATTAGACGACCATGAAAAGGAGCTCTATTCGGTTTTCGTGAACCTTGCTACTGCGTATCGTTAATCGTGGTTTTCGTGAATCTACTACGTCCATTTTGCTCCTAGGAGCACCTTGAGCAACTACGCTTTGATGTAGAGCTCCTCCTCCAACTACCTCTAGTATTTAGGATGAACGGCTGACTTCCCCAACGCCAGAGAGATCTGGACGCACAAAATTTTTTTCAATATGTAGATCCACCCTTCTTGCACGAAGCACACTGGCCGTGGCCTTCAATGTCTCCTTCAGTACTACAGATCCCACCCAACGCCAACGAAAAAGAGAAAAATAATGAAAGAATAGCAAACCGCCACCAGTAGAAATAAATCTTCTTCACGTAGACAGTGGTACGGAAAAACTAAAACTTGAAACACAAACTATATATAAGTATTGCATATAATTACATACTAGTATTGTCGACGTGCATGAAATCAAAAAATCTGACAATAGCACGAATACATACTAGGTACACACAAACCTTAAAAAGACAAGCAGTAAGCTGCCGTCTCTTGGGTTTGGCCCTATCCACGTCTACAAGAGTGGTCTTCCTCAATTCCATGTCATGTATACGCTTCGTGTTGCGATCCTTACTCAATTTCCGCCTTCGGAAGAATAACTCTTCGAAACTTTAACGGAACAAAATTAGATGAAATGTAATATCATGCATGGTAACCGGCGGTTCGAAGAACACACTCGCAGATTCATTGTTGAGGGTTCGCTCACAGTCACTCGTCGTGCAATCATAATCTATTACTTATAGATACGTTGGGTCGCCCAACAAAACCAGCATCAAAAAGCACCTATAGTTGTACAAGAACGTGGCTACCTCTGACTTACCTACATTTTGAACATCGCCTTCGCCGCACGACTTTATTGCCTTTAATATTACACTGAATCTTTCCCGCCCGACGGGTGAAAGCGTTGGTGCCATTGGTTGTTCGATATCTAATGTACAAAAGAAAATAGTGGTTTACATTCATACTTAAATTTTTGCAGCTCCTACGTATCCAGTACTACGTTCTGCCCGGTAATATCCTCTCCCCACCCGCCGCGTCTGGTGTTTCAATACGACTTATGTCTCTACCAAGTCGCTTGAGCACCTGCCTCCGGAGGCGTGACCAAGAGGACGCGTCCTGGCTCACTTGTTCCTAGCGACGGCGGGAGTTCCAGCGCAGGTATTCGTATTCCACACTGAGCTTAGAAGTAAAAGGTAAGAAGAAGTAGAACAAGTGAGTCAAGAAATAATTTACTAACGCACGTCGCGGTCGCCGACGCTGACCACGACCTCCACTCTCGGAGTTGTCAAATTTAGCTAGCCAACTCGAATACAAGCTGCATGTTCCTCTAACTACTTATTGCGAACTGAGAAGTTGTTGTTGCAGAACAAGAGATAAAAAAATATGTAAGCAATTGCATAAGTCTCTACCGCACTGGAGGTCTGCGGTGCTGCTACGTTAGTCCATATCACGCAGTTGTTCATTGCTGGAGCACTCGCGATCGCGACAGGGGAGGAAGGGTATTTTAGATCGAATTCGACCACGAAGTCATCACGATAAAAGATCATCTCTAAACACAACTCACGTTCTTGTTGTCCATCTCCGTTTTCGTAGTAATTACCCAGAAAAATCTTGGATATTATTGACAAAAACGACGCACATCAGTGTTTCTTTTTGAATTTTAGAAAGCCTTAAGAAGCCGACCATTTCGAATTGCAACATTGAAGACGGTTCGCACCAGTCTTGGTTGGTGGGCGCGGCCATCCCAGCGGAAGCATAAACAGTTGTGGCCATCGGCATTACTTGTGGACAGCACGCAAACCCTTGAAGCGGCGAGTTGCAGTTGGTCGACGCCATCACTGGATGAAACACTACCGGCACCCTGAAAATGACATCAAAAATCTTAATCTTTCAAACTGCATAAATCCGTTGCTTCAGGCCTTGCGCCAAAAGTAGAAAAAAATGCTAAAATTTTTACAACAAGAACAAGTACTAAATCACTCAAGAACTGCGATGTACCGCTGGCTGCTACAGGAGAAGGTGAAAAAGGAAGATGATTTTTAGAGTATGCCTAGAAGTACATGCAAGCCGCGTGCGTGGGCGAGTTGCTCGCGTTTGTGGGAGACGCGGAACCCGATGACCAATCTGTAGATTGTGACAAGTAGGGCTCACAGTTCGCCGATGAACGGTCTACTTGCGTCAGCTGCTGTCGTGACCTTTCTGCGGCAGCGGGATTGAGGAAGCTTTCATCCGGCGTGTGGAGTCGTCTCCAAGCTTCGGGGTCGCCGGATGCATTCTGTTGTTGCTGCAAAAGACCATCCATCATGTACTGTAAGTCTCGAGCACCTGGCCGCGTCATGTCATTCGTTTTAGAACAACTTCGTCAACTCATCATCTGATGCTGCAGCTGCAGCACTTACGTAAATATATTCTTCACTAAATATATTCTTCACATGTATTCATCAAAATTTTAGAACGAGAAAGTGCGGGCCGGCGCACCCAAAACTCGAAGACGATGTCTTCTTAAATATGTAGTTACGAGAATTTCTTATCCTTCTTGAAAACTGGTTTCACAAAAGCCTTAACTCTGATGTCGCTTACCCTTGTTGTGCCATCACCATGTTTCCACATTGCACTATGCAGACGTTGCTGCAGACAACTCAGCTCCCTTTGTGACGCAAACTCCTCAGAAAATTTTGCTTCATCGTTGCTGCTTCTTGTGGTCGCATGCATGAAACTTTTCCTGGACGGGCTACCAGCACTCGTTTCCTCCCGTTGATGGCGCTCACGAAGCATGCTGAGCTGTTTGCCGACTGTGGCGTGGCATTCTTGCAGGACAGTAAGCATGCCCTCTACGTCGTCTCCCCCAACTACATTGCCTTGCGCATGACCCTGACCGGTGCTCACACCTGTGATAAATATGATCACTAGTAATCGGAGTTACCCAGTGTTATGAAACATCAAAATCGACTAGATTTTCATTTTCGATTTCTCATGGCATCTAGAAGACGAGGAGCTAGGGAAATTCGTAGATGTAGAAAACTACTAACTATAATAGTCACATGATATGTCAAAATGTACAGGCGGCATTGTGATGTTCCGGAACACCGCATGCTTGCGCCAGCTTTTGTCGCAGCTTGAGAAGGTCATCGACGCTCGTTTCTCCAGGGTGGCACGATGACCAAGACAAGGCGCGTGACGCCCGCAGCGTTCTTGCACTCATAGATTGGTCTTGCTGGTGACGCTCTACCATGCAACTGCGCGAATGATGCCGGGGCGAGCCCCCCACACTGGCCGATGTAGCGTGCTTCGATTGCTGAAAAATGTACGGCTGACGCTTGTTGCCCACACTCCCTGCGTGGTCGTTGGTAATGACTTCTGTTGCCCCTTGAGGTACTTGAAGTTGAGGATTAGAGTACTCAGCCTGCGGACAAGGAACGGTATTGATCGGAAACTCATCAGGGACCCGCGAATCCATGGGTATAAGCGGTCCCTTAAAAGTCATTTTGGTATTTGATGCCCCACCCTCTTGTTCTGGCGACAATGGCTTCGAACCGCCCGAGCTGTAGTAATTTTGCTGGCGAATCCGAAAAAGCCCAGTGTGCTTCTCTTGCGACTCCCTTCCGTTCCGTGAGCTGCGCGTCGGCAACATCACGCCCGCTTGTTGTTGACCCTCCTCTGTTTCAGCTGACGAGGCAGAGGTCCCCGTGTAAGCGGGCGTGCGGCTAGCCGCAGAAGCAGAGCATCTTGTTCGGCGTCCACCAGGAGCCGAAGTCGACGGTGAAGACGCGCCTTTTGTTTGTAAGTCGAAAAGCCTGACATGGATGTCCGACTCCTCCTTCAATTTTGCGATTTCCTGCTCGTGTTGCTGCTTAATTTCGTCCTCGCGTTCTCGCTTCCGCTTTTCCATGATGTAGTTACGCAGCGCTTTCTTCTCTCTGCGCCTCTCCCGTCTTGCGATTTTTCTATTCGAGTAAGCTGGTGTAGCTCCTCTAAGTAAGTAAAAATGGTGATAGAGTGCGCAATGCCCTGGAAATGACGTTCTTGTAGTTCAGAGGAGGTACAAAATTGTGACATTTTGCCTTCCATGAGAATGCCAAGCACAAGAAAAGTTAACATGAAACAAAGGAAGCCCCCTTGAGAAAATATGGGAGCCCTAATGTGGAAATCAATGTGGACTATAAAAATCACCGAAGTAGCAAACACCAGTCTTAATTTGAGCTACTTTCCGACTCGTGTGCGTTTCATCTTGACCGGTCTCTTGCATTCGGTTCTCTCCGGTATTCATGCCGTCCTCGGCACTCGGCGAAGAGAGCCAAGAACCGCTGTTCATATTAGACCTTCCGGGAATCCAATCGAAAGTCATCTTGGACCCGATTCCCCCTTGCATGGGAGCTCCAACACGCTTCTGAAGATGGATTTCCAGAAGTCTTAATCATATCTACATCCTCTACCATCTCCCAATCTAGTGCTTTTTTTTGATCGCATTTCTCGTATTCTTCAATCCCTTTGCTCATCCCATTCACACTCGTTTCAGATTGCACATCAGCGCCATTGATCGGCCTTGCCGCGGCTGCACCTGAAGCAGGTGATCCTTCGACAGGCGTCTCCACTCCACCTCCAAAAGTCATCTAGCTTAGAAGTAATGCAAGATTACGAGCGAAAGCAACTTGAGTCAGCAGATACTATTCTTGTTACGGACTAAGTCTAAGTTGTTGAAGCCATTCATCACTACTACTAGTACTACATACACCATGTCGAATTAGAGCTAGTAACACTAACATCCCTGCTCAAAAATATTGATATCATGATCGTTTCATAACTTCTCCTCTGCAGCCGAAGGTGAGGCAGGCGTTTCCACTAATTGCTTGGGTTTGTGCTCTATTCTGAGCTTGTCAATGCGGTAGATCCGTCGCCGCATTTCTCCTGCACCAGGCTTTCCTTTGGGGTCGCGCGAAGGTGCATGATCCGGACTGTGTGGATCCATCGAGGAAAGAGACGCAGATGACGATGCTGTTGGCATCGATCCGATTGAAGCCGTCCTACCCAATGTTGATCCTCGTGACTGCTCTTGGGCATCACTAGTGTAGAAGCCCTTTTCACCGTCTACTCGTTCATGACCAAGCAGGAGACCGCCTCCAGAGGAGGTCGTGTAGGTGGTTGTTGTTGCAGTCCTAGCACTATAATCCTTCCTCTCATCTTCTTGTCCGGCAAGCTTTGCAACATGATGGTCCTTCTCAACGTCGGTGCGACCAGAGGGCGTAGAAAGGCATGCACGCAAGGCGACGGCACTACCCACGAGCAAAGGACCGCAGGCCGTACGCAACGAGAGCAACGGAATCTTGAACATGTCTCAGAGCTCTTACTTCTACTAGGTACTCCTACTCTGTTGAACCTCAAGCGCCAACCCTTATATTAATTCAGCAACAAAATCAAAGATCATAGTCGATTACTTTTATTGTAAATAGATGATCATTCGAACATCTAAGCTCAGCAAGAAAACAAATTCAATTCAAATCTTAAATCACCAACTAAAACTCCTACTCCACTTCTTGTTCTATGAATCACGATCTGCCCCTGCTTCTACTTTCTTGCAGAAAAAAATGTTAGTACTTATAGGGTAAGCAATTTTTTTAAGGCCAGGCCCTCTCCCTAAGGACACCTCCTGAAGCAGCTTCCTTAAGGGAATGACATCCCTTGCTTAAGAAGTTTCTATTTATTATAGTATACATTATATAGAAATCTATTATAGGCCTCCCTTAAGGGCAAAAAGTGGCCCTTAAAGGAGGTCCTTCAAGGGGCCCTTGTAATAGACGTAGGCTCATACTAAGCCCTTCCTTAAGAGCCACCTCTTAAGGGAGTTAGCTGGCTAGCTTGCTAGCAGCTTCGCCATAGCTAGCTTACTAGCTTAGCAATGAATAGGATGCCTAGCCTGCTAGCTTAGCCGTTGCTAGCTTGCTAGCTGCTTGGCCATGCCTAGCTTGCTAGCTGCTTAGCCACTGCCTGCGAGGCGGCTTGCTAGCTGCTTAGCCGTAGCTAGCATGCTAGCAGCTTGGCCATAGCTAACTTGCCCGGTCGCTGCTTGGCCATACTATGCTGCGTAGCCATAGCTAGCTTTCTACCTGCTTAGCCATAGCCAGCGCGTTAGCTGCTTAGCCATTGCCAGATCGCTAGCTTAGCCAGATTTTTAGCACGCGAGCCCGCCGGCTTGCTAGCCTAGCCATGGCCAGCCTGTTAGCCTAGTCATGACCAACTTGCTACCTAGCAGCTTCGCCATAACTATCCCGCTAGCTTAGCCGCAGCCGCTCCAGCTTGCTAGCTTAGCCATAGCCAGCCTGCTGGCTTAGCCTGGTCCATTCTAAGCCGGCCGCGCATCGCTAGCTCGGTGACATGACGGCTTGCTTCGTTTGTCTTATCTATCTCGTTGCTTCTAACCTATGCGCAGTGCGGCGGGCCCTTGCTGGGCCGGCTTTATTCTGGGCATGCATCTATAGTGGATCTTCCTCGTCTTAATCCGTTTTCCTATGTTGAAGACATGAGCATGAGGTGGTGAAACCACTCATTTACAACTACTAAGTCGAAGACACTCTCCTAAACCTAAAACTAAATTTCGTCAAAAAATACAGATGAAACTAAAACAGCACTTATTTTCAATCACTCGTTATCTTCCAAATGAAACTAGCACAGCAGTTCTTTATAATTATACTTACTCAACACAACAATAAGATTACAAACTCGACATTCGTCACATGCAATGCCGGATATCGACGCGTTTCTTCGAAAAGTGATCTATCAAAGAGACAAAGCAAGTGCTAGAACGTGATTGAGACACGCAAGAAACTAGGACTGTTGATGTCGTGCAACATCAGAAGAGAAACCTGTACCTGCAAGAAGAAGGATGCATGTATTTTGTAGTATATTGTTGAAGATTTCTATCAAGTATTCATTCACTCAAGTACGTCGTGGCCAAAAATATACCAGAACCAGTTCCTCTCTTCGTAAATTTATAATAGCTGACTAAGTATGTGGAGCTGGAGCTGACCTCCGTACCAGAGAAACTTTGAATGCGCAGGTGGGTTGCTATGAAAGATGCAAATACTTACTCTTGGTCGTTTCAAGAAATGAAGCGGTTCGTTGCAAGCACCAATCACATGTACGTTTCCCATTCAGAAAAGGAAATTCATCGGATGACGACAAATACAGAACCTCCAAATCCAAAAATAACACCATATTCATTGTTCGATGATAAGCTTGTGCAAAACAACAACATCAACAGCGACATCAAACACTGGCACATCTCGTGCTTGAAGCTTTTTCGAATGCTTCATCGTATTTTTGTGTTCGCCTTCTCGGCATGTGCAACGTAAAGGTTTCATCATGACTTGTCGTTTAATGTGGCAATGGCATAGACGCGGATGCTCCAAGAAAACTATGTTGCCAACTTACGACCAACTACATGCGGTTCCCGTGCGCGTGCGCTTCAGCTACTTCCCGCCCTCATGTACATTCATCTACCTTGTTCATCTAGAACTAGTTTGTTTTCCCAACAATTTCAAGTGGATTCTTTAGCTTTCCTGATTCAATTGCGGCGTTCCATAATTTTGTTTCAAAAAGACGTCGATAAAGAAGTACTCTACCTTCATCTTTTTTCGAGCGTCACTGCTCAATTTCGTTTTGTTCTAGGGTATTCTCAAAACTGCACTCATCCGCCTATATCCTAACTAAGAAAGCTGGCCTTCGCACCAGTTTCACCTACCTCATGACGCTGAAGGCATCCGTATATTCTATAAGCATCCTCTTACATAACAAAAGGCAAAAATCGAGGTCTCCGGCCAGGGTTTTAAGGGGCGCCAAGTAGAATCAATCCCAGACAGGAGCGACAGAAACGCGAGCCACTGTCTGCAGGATTTACGTTAAGGGGAACAGTCAGGAACCTGAGGGCTCACGCCCGAAACGAATCCCCAAAGCTTTGAGGCCGTGCCAGAGTTTTCGATCACGATAGAGTAGACGAAAAAAAGAAAATCTCAAGCCTTTCATCTCAGGGCTGGCCAGAGGATTCCTCGCCTCAAGGTTTTGCTTGCGACTCAAGGTTTTGGCTGCTTTTCGATTTAAGTCACTCACGGCCCAAGGCTTGCCTCCTCCGGGTTACAATTGTGTTCCAGGGTTTACCCCTCTCAGAGTTGCGCAACCGACTCAAACACCAGCGGGAACCAGCACAAACCACGAACACGCGATCGCCGGGAAAGGCAACCCTCGCGCGTGAAATATTCAACACATTCAGCCCAGCAGCTGAAAAGCTGCCCAAGCTGATGGGTCAGGCAAGCGAAAAGCGAAAGCGTGGAGACTTTCCACGCCACAGCCAAGCCAGTGGCTTTCTCAAGGTTTTAAGGGGAACCCTGGCTGTCTCACGGTTTCCCTGGGTTGAGAGCCCTGGCTTTCTCAGTGTTTTACCTAAGGGGGGCCCTGGTTTTGTCAGGGTTTCGTCCCCGGGTTGGGTTGAGGAGGCTCGCACGCCAGGAGGCCGGCGGGTCAGCGCGCTGCTGAAGGGCTGCACTGCCACCCAGACGAACAGAAAGCGCCCGACGGCCGGCGCCGGCCGTTAGCGCCTGGAATCACGCACGCGGTGCCCGATTTCTGCCCATAACGGCCATAGAACATTGCCCGGCAGCTTTTTGGCGCTCTCGTAGCCGCCAAGGTGCTCCGGCGACACTGCGGCAACCGCCGCCCTACTGCGGCACCCCCAAAAGCTCCCACCTGGCAATTCGCGTTCAGGAGCCCACCTTGCGTCGGTCTTTTTGAGATAGCTAGCAGCTTTCTCTTCGTCTCGTCCCCCTATTTCCCGTTCGCCTCTGAGCACTCGGGTCACGACTAGTATCAATGCGATAAATTCATTGAATGTTGGGCGAAATGTTTCGTGCACTCAGCTGATGAGCAGTCAACTTGAACTTTGTAAATTTCTTGAACGCATTTATTTCCTTAGAATTTTGTACTTGTTTCTATGCCAAAAGGAACTTTTACCACTGTGCGCCTAAGCCGGTTCCTTTGGTTTCTACCCGCATCGCTTGAACGGACTCGTTATGCCGTCGTGGGCGACACAGATACACGAATACGATCATAAAGAATCTATAATATACAAAAGTTGCATGCCTCCAAAAATTATTATTACAAGCACTACAATTTCATTGTATTCAACAGTATCAATATGCTGTCTTCGTCGTGTTGTTGATGTACATTCGAATGTGATTATGTCCAACAGCACAATGATGTTGATCTTTAGCGAATTCTCCTGTAATGAAGTAGCTAGCGCGCGTAGTACAACAGGTGGAAACGGACCTTGTTCATTTTCTAGTCTTAATTTTTGTTAACACAAGCAAGAGTGAGTGCTGCTATAACGTAGACTCTAACCGTCCTTTGAAAAGCAGGCTACATCGGGACCTTAGACCCTAGCACTTGCTTCACCAGGATGTTGAACTGCGGAGGTAGCCTCTTCCTCGACTATCAACAATAGTGGCGACATTTCTTCTTCAATATTCTCCTCTTGAAGGGGCGAAGATCCGGAATTATTCATGCTTCTTCCATCTCCGCTAGTTGCAGAGGTTCTTGCATGAGCATGATTATCATTATTTTCCTTAGTGATTCCGTGGTGCTCCTCATGATCCTCTTGCACCATATTGTAATAGAGGCTCAGACCAGGATGAGGTTGCCCCCCAACATGGTCCACAGCATTGCCTGTACCCACTTTTGCTTTGGCAAACAATTTCATGCTTTCAGCGGCAGCTAAACTTCCTCCTGGAGCTTGTTCACCACTCGGCTCCAGAAAATGATGTTGAGAACCATGAACGTGATGTTGATCTTGATGACTTGATGAAGGATACGATAAGAGATCGCTTGCTCCTGGAACCCCAGAGTCCGAGTTCGCCCACTTCGTCTTCGTCATTGGTGAGTTAGTATATTCGTAGTAGAAGAGGACTCCGTTATGCAGATTTGACCCCACAAACGCAGGTCTAACCGCAGCAACTTGGGCGTCGTTGGTGTGCCACCAGTTTGCGTCTCCGTCTCGCACAAACGCCGTATAATGTCCTTCGTTCAACGACGATTTTTCACTTTGATGCACGACGAAACCAGCCAGATCAAGCCCAACTGCTTCGTCGGTCGAACGCCACCTTTGTTTTTGATTTTGATATCGATGAGAAAAGCCCCCCTAGCCCTACCAACGACCTATTATGTCAATCATACTTTAGTGCTAGTGGTCGTGCATCTTCAGGAGTAAACGTTGTAGTTCTTGTCGCTGTTCACTGCATGTTATATCAGACAGACACCAACGTCCTTCCCTCCAGCGTACAAAGAAAAAATGTTCATAGTACAAAATGAAAATTATACAACATTTCTAAACTCTTACAGACTTCAGCACCACTAGGATTAGATACATTAACCTCATAAAAAAGACTTCAGCACTGGAGTTGACAACCAAGTACCTGAGATCATAATTTTTCAGATGGTCCATTGCGAACAACTTTCTGGCACACTCGGCTCTTTCATGGTCAGCCAATTTCTGTTCCGCTGTGTGATATGGTGCAAAGCTCACCATAATCCCAGCAGGTGGCTGCCAGGTCTCCGCTCCACCATCAACAGTGTTTCTTGAGACTTCATCTCTTCTTAGAGTTAATGTCGCGAGAGGGGGAGGACAATGACAAATAAAAATTGTTGTAGTCTTCATCTACTAAGGATTTTCATACATCACGGATGAAGACGAAATATTCCTATTGTGAAACTACATATCAACGTACAGGTACAGCTGCTCCAGCAGGCGGAGCGACGCGACAAACATTATCTGTAGTCAAGCATGTTGAAGGCTGGCAGTACTCCGACGTACTATATCGATCCACTAGTATTTATCGGGCTGACGATGATGATATCTAGTACTAGTCTAGTATTGACCGCTTCTAAATCTATACCCTCGACAACGACCACATCATGATCAAGAGGGGTCAACATAACATCATTTCTTTATCCTCTATGTAGTGCACCTCCGATGAAAGCGTGAGATCGTGGACGGTTAAGAAGGATGCGCTTGCAGGATCTATCAATGCTGGTGACGCGACCTCGGATGGATCCCATAGCAAGCCGCTGACTTGACTCAAGCCAGGAGGTGCGCTAGCGCTTTGGGTCGTTTGTCCTGGCGTTATCGAAAGTACGTTGGCTACACTGTCGGTAATGCTATACTCAACCAAGTCTTGCTGTGAATCCCACTTCAATCCTCAGAATTAAAGCTGGCTAGAACAATTTCAATTGTCTTCTTGAAGCTCTTCTTGCGTTGTAGATTTACAGGTCGTGCATGAGACTCAGAGTCGTTGTCGTGAACGTCATATCAAATAAGCATGAAATTAAGACCGGTACTAACACTAAGACTATATAATTGCTTCTTGTGCTAGAAAAGTAGAAATAGAGACGACCACGAGATAATATTGATGCTACATCAACTCCTGTTTAACTCCTCTTTCTTAAGGTAAATCGATCTCCCCACTTTTCCTCTTCTTGGCACTGCCCTGGACTCCACTTTTAAGCATTGCACGTTCCCCAAAGCGCAGTGCACGCTCCTCTGTGCGGATATCTTGAAACGGTGCCCACTTAACGAAAGTACGACTTGTGCTTATCTGATTCACCTTGGCCTGACAAACCGGACCGCACAACAACAGCTCGCAGGAATCCTGCTGAGTTCCGCTGCCAGCTGGTGTGCGATGGATTAAGATTATTCAAAAAAAAAAATATTTGTTTTATCTCTAAGTAAGTGTGGTTTTGCCGAGCGGACACGTCAGAAACTTGGAAATCATAAAAATCACCAAGAAGCTTAAGCTTATGGTAATACATTCATATAACTTCTCGGATACTAACCATGCTCAACTGCAGTTGTTTCTAAAAATTATATATGGTACCCTTGATTCCGCGCATCATGACTCTGCTCAGGTATAGCAGATCCGCCACGTTTATGGGCATTCCCTGCTTCTCACCTCCTGCAGCCGTCTGCAAATAAGAATTGAAAAAAATCCGTGCTGCCCGCCCAATCTCACCCTTAGAGACAGAGTCTTTGTGCCTTTTTATAGGAAGGTTTTGTGCGCCTGCGACTGCTTCCGTGCTAGTCGCAGTGAGGTAGATCTGCCAGTAATCTGGTGCCTTGATCAGAAGCTGCAAGAGAGCATTCATGTGACAAGTGTTGCCGAGGTTTGGCAAGCCTACGGGAGCCAGCTCTTTCCCGCGTGCCACGCCATTATGAAGAAGCTCGACGTTTGACATACCTGTACAGCAAGTACACTCAGATGGACTAGTCGCATGCAAATGCAATGCATCCAGCAACTCGATTTTCATAGTTCATACAACGTTATACATTTCGATGTCTGCTGATATGGATTCATATGTTTATAGGCAGAGCAAACTACTAATGATGAAAGGACTAGACGGCGATCAGTCAGATTCTAGTCTACCTCCCCTGCCGTTGAATTATTGATCAATGACGAACGAACATTAATTAAGAGGACAGGAAGTTGCAGAACCAACTAGAACTAATTGTAAAGAAGAACTCAGTACCAGGATCAGGACTGACTTGACCTCTTTCCTGTCCTCCAAGCTGCGTGAACAAAGAAGCTTGACCTATTTGATGGCCACCAGGAGTTGCAGTTGCACCTGCCGGGGTGGCAGCGCTGTTCTTACTTGTGTTAAGGGCTTTTTTCTTCTGTCGATCAGGGTTCTCGCACTTCACACGAAGGATTGCGACTATGAGGCAGACGACCGAAACGAGACGAATGCAGATGAAGACGAACGCCGCAAGTCGCCACGCTCCCAGCATGCCAACGGTGTCTCCCGGAGATCGAGGCGAAGTGTACGTCGTCGGTGTTGGCGCCAGCCACGGTGCACCATCTCCTCCAACTCCGTAGTTTCTAACACTGTTAAAGGTTCGGCTGAGAAAATTCGTAGCGCTTCCAAAAACATTCTGTTCCTCTGGAGCGCCGTTGTTTGTCGACATACTGCCTTGAGCTGGTCCATTTCCTGATGGAGACCCTGAAGATTGAGCGTTCTGTCGGTGTTGCCCGTTCGACTGGTCTTGGGCGCCTTGTCCTTCATAGTGCTGCAACACCCGAAGGCGCCGAGTCTCCCTATCGTTAGCACCCTGTGGTCGGCCGCCAAGGGTATTGCCCGCCGCGTTTCCCCCACTCACAGAACGAGAACCTCCCACAGACTGTTGACCTGTGGTTGCATTAGAAGAGCCGGCTCCTTCTCTGTAATGGGCGTCCTTCAACGGTCACTCAGGGAGGTAATTGCACTAGAGGTGGAGGATGAAGAGCACATTGTGAATACAACGGGTATTAAGCACTACACAAATCCGCAGTACAGCCTAATGATATTGGTAACATCACGTCTGACACATCCACCCAATTACCATCTCGATCTACAAGCGAGCCTTAAGCCGATTAGGCGCTGCTGATACACGTGCAAAAATGGGACTTCCTCTGCTCCCACTTCCTGCACCGCCGGCCGAGCCTCCGCTACCAATGCTGCTCGGCGTGTGGATCCGAGGTCCTCCCTGTTGGTTAGTAGATTGGTTTCTAGCATTATTGCCAGTAGAATTCGGTCCAGGACTCCATGCATTCGGCATCGGCGTGCCTCGAGCCGACGCACCGCTACCACCCAGCGTATGACCCCTGCTGCCAGAGCCAACATTGCGGCCTTCACGCACTGCCCTGGGCGGACAAAAAACAAGATGTTGCTGACCTGTTGTTGCTTGTATTAGAAGAAAGCAAGGAATTCTTACTCAGCAAGAGGAAACTGCGGAGAAAAAGAAAAACGATGTTGCTGATTCCTGCAGGAATTTGAAATTATTTTCACTCTTTGTGAAACTCATCATCAGTGGACCCTCTCTCGTATCATGTGTATGTCCCGGCGTTGTCCCTTCGTGACCAACGTGGAGACAAGATGGCAGCCGACCTCGTATCGCTGCCTGTCGTATTAGCATAATCCCTTCATAAAAACTGATCTGCCACTAGCGCGTCTTGGTTTATGCGGTGTTCGTGTCGCTGCGTGTAGATAGAGACATTGGGGATATCCCAGTCACTGTGTGTGATGAGATCTACTCTATCGTCAACCCGAGGCAGGGCTTGTACGCGAGAATAACCGAGCTGCAAACCGAATCCCCGGTCGTTGCGGATTGCAAGCCAGCAACAGATCTCGAGCAATGTCAAGATGAGCGCCGCGACAAAAATTAGAAGAAATCATTCCTCCCAGTTGTCTTGAACTTGATGAAAAGTATGATCCATGATGAGCATGGCGTTGACTCTGTACCGATTCATCTACCGTCGGAAGTCTAACAATAACATAGCCTTGTCTTAAAAGACGGCCCGCGTTGCCTCGCATATCTTTCCAGCGTTGCGTGATGAACTCGGTGTTGAGACTGTGGCCGAACCACAGCAACCAAGCAGCCAAGAGAACGTACTCAAACCACACGTGTGCGGAGACGTCCAGACCGAAGGGCGCAGGCGACCCATACTCATCAACCGCTTGAAAAGTCTGAAGCGCTCCAGCAGCCTTCATTAGAGCTATCGCGTTGCACTTGCATCTTCCTCTTTGAGAGTCATATGATCCTTGCCCTTGGAGCCTTCTTTTTCTCCCTTGAAAACGAGGCCAAGGTAGGATGGTGCTGAGGATGCTTCAGCGGTAGCCTTAACTTAAGCGGCTCCAGTGCAGCAAGCCACGGGAGCCGACCAGCATACTGGTATCCGCGCCACTCGCCAGGGAGCGAAGGTGAATTAGAAACAACATGATGTTTAGACTTGCGCACTGTTAACACGATATGTTACGTTTTGTTACTTAATCATGCGTGAAACCTTGTAAAGATCTTTCTGCCGATCAGCGCTAGCTGGAAGAATGTCTGAACCAAAAAGTAGCATGAAAACTGACATCTATTACGCACTGCAAACTACGTCCTGCTTTGACTCATGTCGAACAAACTACTACTAACTACACTAATTGTATTCTCATCGATATCCTCCTTATTCCTAAGATTGGCCCACTGCGCGTTAGCAGTGTTTAGACCGAGGGTGAATGGCATCGTCGTCATTTGAAAGTACGTACAGAATCCGGTATTTTCAAACTGAGATCGCAAAGTGTTTGAGTTTGATGTCGATGTGTTAATAAAAAAATAGTAATCGTCCTCGTCAGAATCAGAAGAGGTAGTCCAGTGTCGTACTAATTCAGCTACCATTTTTATTTGGGAGTTATCCTTACCTCTTTCATGAACAACTAGAACTACCTACGTACAAGTACAAGAACCTTGATACTGGTTGTAACAGGAAATTATGGCTCAACGAAGTACTAAGCTAATAGGTAATAGTACATCCTCACAGAGATGACTCCGAATACGATGGAAGGAACCCGAAACTTCTATGTTCCGACAAAATGCAACAGCGCAGCAACTGAGTGAGAATATGGTGAGTCCATCCGATCCACTTCAGCCCATCCTACTCCACCAACAGCTGTGTTATAGACTAAAACTAGTTATTCTAGAATATAGAGTTATAGTATACCAACGCCATTTCGTTATCGTTACGGCTGCGCAATGCCCAGACCACAAGATCGATTACCAGCCAGAGGAGGAGGATGGAGGAAATCGAACTCCCGATGCCAGCGTTTAGAAGCAGCCAAAAATGCTCAAACGAGTAGCAAAGGGGCCGGAAGCTCTTCCACTCGCAAGTGAAGAGAGCGGCCAAAAGCCGGCCTAACATTTTGTTCTTGATTCAAGAAAATCAAAATCTGGTTGTTCGAGTAAAAGTTTTATTCAAACTTAAACTTTCTTCAATAATTATAATACGTGGCTCTGGCTCGTTGTTACTACAATGAGGTAGCAAGCTACTAGTTGTTGTTGTACATGTAGTACTTGTTCAAGATTCACAATAAGTTACAATCTATGGCGATGTCTCCCAAAAAATTGTTGACTTTTTCAACAACTATTTGTTGTAAAGGACAGAATGAAAGCTACAAGAAGAGTGTGTCTCTTGTAATCAGTGGGTCTCTTGTAATAAATAAGGTTTACGTATTTCTCCAGCATCAACCCATGCCGTTGACATGCTTACGCCACCACCGACATGATACTCATTTAATACAATACTTGAGACACTCGGTGCCTCCGCGTCCGCGTCGACGGAAGGTGGATCGAGAAAATAAAAAAAACGCTAAGATCATACGCCGCTTTTCCTTTCCCTAGTCGCGATTGCAAGCTTCTTCTTGCTGGAAAGAACCAAGCAAGATGTCTTCGTGCGTTTGCAGCTACGATCGACCAAGACCAAAGCATCTATTGGACCAAGTGCAAACAACAATCTTGAAAGAATTCCAGCTGAAGGCTTTACTCACTGCACGGAGAACCGTTTCGGAGAACTTGTTGACCTCCGAGTTTCCTTTATGAACTAGAGGCAGTAGATCACCTAGCCTAATACAAACCGGTAACGGTATTGTCGTCCTGGTCGACTGATACCATCTGCATGACGATCGCAAGCGTCGCGCGCTAGGTGAACACATTATCATTAAGAACAACTACACGACACCATCATTATTGCGCTGACGCATGCATTGAACTTTTTATACCACCATGAGAATGGAGCGAAAAGCCACAGCGTGTGACATCAAAGAAAAAGTTCTGATTGAGATTAAAAATAGTAAAGAAGATATTACAACAACAAATTATACTTAGTAAGGAATAATTGTACACTTTTCCAAAACAACACAACACAACACACAACAAAACAGCAACACACACACAACACCAACACACACACAACACCAACACACACACAACACCAACACACAC